TGGCTCCAATGTTCATGATCGTGAACTTGAGGCTGCAATCTTTAGGTCAAGTTCACGGGAGAGAGGAAGAAGATCCCGGCCGGGAACTTTGCACATCAGGCTTCGATCTTGTGCTATGGTTCATGCCCTCTCTTCATGTACCCATGCAAACCTACTGAATCCAATGCAACTTGATAGAAAAATCAACGGGGGATCCACCCTAGTTATTCATTTCATAAAGAAGAGTAGACAAAGATGAATGAACTTTGCTGTCATCTTACTGTGCATGCACAAACTCCGTGGTGAGGATCATACTTACTACCTTAGGACGAACATTCAAGGTGTGTACCAGGGGACTTCTCAATCAACAATTAAGCACAAGAACTCTTGAGGGTGCTCTTTAGTTTTTCTTTCAACTTAGGAGTTGTCTTTTATTTGTCTCCTTTTCCAACGTTGACGCACATTGCACCAAACGTTTGCAAATTCTTTTGCAAGAAAGCATATCTCCCTCATGACCAAGAGCGAATGGATCATTGCCATCCCTTTCAAGGTCACATGTGGGGAAGGTGATGGACGGATTCGTCTTAGCCTGAGCACCAATTCCCAGTCTGCATCCACATTGGGTTGCCACACATGTTGGGTACAAACGAGAGCTTTGAGATCTCTTGAATCGCTAAAAGGTACTTGTCGTACGATTCCGTGAGAAGGAAAGATGCTTGGGGGATGGTAAGTAGTGAAAGATTATCGGAACACGGTAAAGCTATCCGGTCCCCAAACATATCCTCAATGGGAACTCCGAGTCGGTATATGTCAAACACTATGCTCGGTTGCCTCTCACGTGAGAGCTTCTTTGTAAAATTTGAGAGTTAAAAAATGATGGAGAATCCCGTACACATGTTCTTGCTAAGATAGCAAACATTATCAACCCACCGAAGAGGAATAAGAGAGTAAAACCCCTCATAAACCGGTACTCTACTCATGCAACTACTCCCTAGTAAGCACACCACATCAATCATCTATAAATTCAAAGCATATTGAGTAGAAAGTTGCAAGAGACAAGGTATTTTTGAATCCTCAAATTTGCAAGAGACAAGGTTTGAAAACATAATCTGTAAGCCATTCAACACCACAAAACACATTCAATCGGTAGCATTCACTCCCATAAGCAATGATCAATGTCTCACATTCATAATCAAGTGAGGCTACTAACTGTTCATGGCGTATTCATCATGAACTTTTAAGGCATGCAATGCATCCCCCCTACACACAAGAGACACATTGTCCTCACTAAATGTAAGGTTCAAGAAGCATTACCATAGGTGTTTCTGGGTTCAGTAGGGTGCACAAGTTTAGGTCTTCATAGGTCTAGAGAATTAACATTTAAGCACACACATAAGAGAGGAAGAATGGGTTATCCATAAAAAAATATAAAAACTAATCTACCACACACAGATGTTACTAAACATACTAAGTACTTAAAAAGAAAAACATAAAAAGATAGAAATTGTGGTCCATCATAGCTCGTAGTCACCTCCATTCGTTGCTTTATTGTGCTTGTGGTGGTTTCTCCTTGATTTGAGGTTATGGTCATTCTCTTGGAAATTGTGGTTCTTTGGCGGTTCCGGTTCCTTCGTTGTTGATGGCTAAGAGAACTAGAACTTTCACCCTCTGTTGGATCACCATTGGACGAGAAAAATCACAAAACTTGTTCAAACAAACCATTAGGCAACTCACTAGATCAATTGAACAACAAAATCCATCCTTAGGTTCACTCTATACACCCCCGCAATTATGTGTTACAATGTAGAAACTAGAGTTGCATAGGTAGAAATGCATGTTGTAACGACCAAGGTCGAGGTCGAGATGCATGAACACAAGGGTGCCATGTTTTTGAAGAGGTTTCTAAACCCCAACCGAAGGCTAGAATCAACTCATTAGACAACAACCAAAGCTTTAACTCTTGCTCTAAAAGCATAATGAAGCACACAATCAAACGCGAGCAAAAATTTCAAACTCTAGGGACATGCATCAAGGATTCAATTCTAATTCATAAACACACTCCTAAGGGTCTATCTTGATCAAACAAGTTCAATTGATAAGCAATGGATCAAGAAAAACAAGTTTTATGTGGTTTGGGCATTTCATGGAGCACTTGGTTGGCAACATTCAAACTCCACAAATTCAAAAAAATAAAGCCCACCAAGGCCTCCAAAACACATATACATTCTATGATCCTATTGTGCTAGCCATGCCATTCTATTAGCCCAAGTAGCTTAAGTGGTAGGCTAGCACACTTACTTAACAACAACATTTGCAACCATTCCTAAAGCAACTAGCTAGTCTCCAAATAATCTTTCATTCTATTCTTAATATAGAAGGGATTCATTTACTAGCTAAAAATATAAAAACTACTTAAAGAAAAATCAAACCTGCAACTTTTATTTTCGAAAAGTAAGAAAATGCAAACCGGTTGTTGGGGTACCTCTTAGCTAGTGTGTCTTTCAAGTCTTATCGCCGGACGATTATCTTCAAGTATTCGGTCCAACTTAGAACCTCCTTGAAGTCGAGGTTCTCATCGGTGAGGTGGTGTCTCAAGTCTCGAGCATTGGATGCTTCAAATGATGTGAATGACCCGTCGACTTGGCAAGAATTGTGTCTCCACCCACGAGACCTCTTTTTCTTTTCTTCATCTCTCTTCTCTTTGCCCCATACCATGTAATACAATCTTGATTGATTTCCACCGCATCCACCAAGAGGGATCGCCGATGGTTTGGCCTTGTCTTGGCAAAGAGCCGCAAATGGGTCCTTCGTAAAAAGTGCATCGAGGTCAGGTGGACAGCTTTCGTAGCACTTGTAACTTGTAGAAGCTTCATCCACCACAACCTCGTCCTCATCTTGGACTTCATTTGCTCCTTCAAATTCATCTTTAACCACTCTTCCTTCTTCAAAAATGTGTTTCTCCACTTGGGAACAATTAAGATCTTCTAAAGGGGGAGGAGTCCCCTATTTATAGAATTTTGCGGACATGGGCAAGTTCGCAGCCAAGGGGATGGAGATTGCCCCCACCAAGCTTGAGACTGTGATCTTAAGGGAAAGTTCCTTGGCGAGAGGCTGAAGATCGCGGCCGGGATCTTTGGGGTGGAGGCTACGATCTTTGAGGGTCACCATTTTGGCCTTGCTAAATGTGGAGTTCGCAGCCTAACATCACGGGCGCGATCCGGGGTGTCACGGCCTCGATCCTTATAGCGGGAATGGAAGCTGTGGACCGTGATTCGAATGGGGAAACTTTCTGCTTCTCTCGAGCTGGCCTCTTATGAAGTTCACACCCTTGACTCCAAAGCTCGCCCATGAACTTGAGGCTTCAATTTTAGGTCAAGTTCACGGGCTAGCGACAGAAGATCGCGACCAGGATCTTTGCACTCCAGCTGCGATCTTGTGCTCTAGTTCATGCCCACTCTTCATAGCTGGGATCTTGGCTCCATCGGTCATGATCTTCGTTTTTGCCCCTTTTCTACACTTGTGCACCTTTTTCGTACCTAATTCACATGCATCGTCTAAAGCACTCTAAAATCAGATCATGATCAAATAAGAAAGAAATAGGGATGCAATCGACGATATTCTAACGATTATGCACACGAATTAGTACGAAACAAACCTAAATATAAAGGACAAATAACACCAATTTGGATGTTACCAATTTGGATCAAAAGACCACCCATATTCCTAATACCCACTTTACTTGCTGGTTGTAATGATGCTAATTTGAGCCATAATAAAATTCCTGGAGTTTTCCCTCAAACTCATAATGAAATGATTATCCTTAAACTATTGTTATAGTTAAATTTTTGAATTATAACAAGGTTTAGGAAACCCTACCGTACCGGCCGATCGGACCGAAAATACCTAATACCGGACCCAAAATGCTAGGTGGCTTTAGCGGTAGGAAACGATTCAATCACGGTTAAACCATGATTTTAGTACAAAATACCCTACAGTTCACTTTTCTGGTATAACCTCCGGTACGATTTCCTAAACTTTTAAAAAAATATTATTGATTTATGCATACTGAGATGTTTATTCCTTTTCGAGATCAAATTAAGTTTTTGAGGATATTGTTATGTCACAAAAAATTTATAATATTATTATAATTTATAGTTACAAACTTTGTAGTAAACACATGTGAGCAAATAAAAATAATCCTTAAGAGCAGCGTCTAAAATAGAATTTTTGGAGATACATCAATATATGAGATTAAAAATAAATAAATAAATAAATAAATAAGTAATACGAGAGTAAGAATTCATTGATCATTAACGGTTAACTATTTTTTTAACATGATTAACTAATTTTACAAAAGAAAAGGTATAAGTTTCTTATGGTAGTTTATCAAAATTTACTGAATGAGGATAACACGTCTTGAGTGAAAAATTCCGTTGATATCTTGTCAAAATTTTATTATTACAGATTTTATTCATAATAAAATAGTGGGTCTCATGTTAAAAATACAAATTTTATTATTACAGACAGAGCATCAACATAAAATATTGACTAATTGATTATGATGTTAAATAATTATTCATAATAAAAATTATTCGGTCAATCGCCGATCACAAAGCTAGTTAATTATAGTGTAGATAAAAAAATAATTATCCCTCCTTTGATCCTTCCCATATATAAGATGTTCTTAGCCATTTAATACTTATTAGCCAAGCTGAAAAAGAAAGTGGGCCCGCCAAACTGGACCTTTCAAGGCCACGTGATTTTGACTATCACCACCGTCCGATCCGTTTCATGCGCTATTCTCTCTCTTTTTTGTTCGGGTTCTCCATCTTTCCTTTCCTTCCAATTCCCCACGAAAAACCATCTCTGATCTCTCTCTCCCACCCAACTCCCATCCCTGTTTTTTTAGAGGATTCTCATCCCTGTTTCCAGTTTTGAGTTTTCCCTTTCAATTCATTCATTTCAATATTTTTCCAAATCGTAGTGCTTCAGAACTTCTCTCCCCACCACCTTCTCTTGATCTTTCATGCCCACAAAAAGAAGAAAAAATAAAGAGGAAAAAGGAAAAAATAAGAAAAGAAAAAGTAGCAGAACAAAGGAGGAAAGCAAGACTAAATCGGTAACCTCAACCAACACGCCCTACTTTCTCCCAAATTTTGGATCGAAGGAAGTTTAGTAACCGTGGTTAATCGCCTCTCCGCACACCACCACCGCCCGCCACACACAACCAACAATGCCTGCCGAGGGCGGGCACATAATTGTCCTCTCCAAGCATCAACATTCTCAGAAATGCTTCCACCCCTAGCTAATGACACCGCTCTTCTTCTCCCGCGTTCAATAATGGTGTTCCCTTCCGTTCTGAGCATCCCCCAACTCTCCGCTCCAGGGCCAACCTAAACTCTTTCCTTTTCTGTATCTCCCCTTCTCTCCTTTGTTTATGCTTTTCTTCTTCCTGGTCCTTCCTTCTTTTCTGGGTTACCTCTTGCTGTTGGTTTCTACTGCTCATCTATAATGTCTGAATTGGTTGCTCGAACTGGTCGACATCAGCAACGGTACGAGGGCGGCTGTCGCCTTGTGGCTGGGTAACAACAAATCTCTTCTTTTCAATTCCAATAGTACTCTGGTTTCTGATGTGATTGGTTCTTTCCTTCATGTCTTTTTTTCCTATGATATGGGTTATTGTAGTTTCTCGATTCTTTGGTTGATAACAACAGTTTGACAGAAAATGGCGCACTTCGTCGATACGTTTTTCACTTTATTGTCATATACTAGATAATAATTTTGTTGTTGATTCGTGGCTTCATCCGTTTGTGGAATTAGTCTCAATTGGATAATTTTTTACCCATCAAACATTTGTGGAAAATTAGCATTTTGGGTGTAATAGCGGTATTGAGATATTATTGTGGCTGGTCATTGACAGGCTATCCACCTTTCTTTTGAATGGTAGTAGATTTGTGAAATATTAGTCTCAGTAGTGGTTTGGCTTAGTTAACATCTATCACAACATTTTCGTTTGCTTTTCTGTTCCTTGTCTGTTCTTGACCAAAGTTTGATAATGAAACCATGTTGAATGGTCTAGAATCTGAATTAGATAGGCTTTCAGATCGGAGGGGCAACTTTGTTCTTTAGTGTTCAATTTACTTAGAAAGTTCAGAAATGATATCTTTTTCATTTTTCTTTCGCCTCATGGTTTCCCATTACTCATGATATCATGTTTCTGTATATGGCTTTTTGTCTTGTCTTTCCATTTGCAAGAAGCATTCTTGATTTGTTCCGAATTCCATTCTAGTCTGGACGTATCCATCAAGAGCGGGTTAGTCGCTTACAAGATATTTTTTATCCAAGGATGCAACTACTCTAGCAACATGACTCTGGAATCATATCGAGGGTGTACAATAATCTAGTTATTAATGTCTGTGTGTCCTTAGGAAGCCATTTCATGGTGGAATGCTTGACTATACAACTAAAAGAGTTCAAAGGTTGGAGGTTTCCTTCCATTTTAGCTATGGCATGAAAGATGGAACTCTTGGTCTATAGAACCTGAGGGAGAATGAAACGTCAACTAGCATAACACTTATATGGTGTTGGTAAGATGGAAAATGAGGAAATGAAGGATTGTATTAGCTAATGAATAATGGTAATGGGATGGATGTAGTAATAGGATCAGGATTTTCCCCATTTAGCAGGGGTGAGTTCCTAGTTTTTGTTTGGTTGATAACTAAATGATCGCTTTGTGTGAAAGTTGGGCGAATGACTGCTGACTATTGTTTCATGTTTGTAGAAGCATTTTGCAACTATTCATGATTCACTAACGTGGCAAGTTATATCTGCAGGTGTATCCCATTTCGGTACAGAGAGTGTGATGAGAATGCTGATACTGATTCCGAGAAAGTTGTTGAGGTCCTCATGATCAACTCCACCAGTGGTCCTGGTTTACTATTCCCTAAGGTATATTTTTGCAAGACTCACTCTAGCCGAATTGTAATGTTTGCTTATTTCCTTTGTTTATGAGTTTCCATGTTGTATGAAGTATTATATATGTTGTTCCCCTTTACCCTTACCCACTAAACTTGAAAATATATCCTTTACATTTATACTTCATGTTGCTTTTAAGTGATCATGTGAGTAACCATGTTGCTAGAGGACTGCATTCATTTACGTTGTGTCTAGGATTTTTAAGTCCCATCTCATGTTGATTCAGAATGCGGGTTGGATATTGGAATAACATAAATTCAGTGACTTCTTTCGTTGATGAAGTATGGCTATGAGGGTGTGACATTCTATTAACTTTGTTTGTTTAACAAATCTATATAAGGGTTCTGTATGCCATTTTTAGAAAGATGCCTTCCGAAATTTTTTCAAATAAGTTGTGTAATAAAACCTTCCAAGTGTGTGCAATGAAAAACCTTAAGCAATAGAAAGAGTAATTATCTATATATAAGTAAATATCAGTTACACATTTGTAGGGAGGTTGGGAGAACGATGAAACTGTTAAAGAGGCGGCAGTGAGGGAAGCTATAGAAGAAGCTGGAGTCCGAGGTGATATATTGGTAAGAGTTTACCTGCAATATATTCCTTGCAAGATGATGTTTTGGTTCAAACCCAATATTCGGTGCATTTTATGTTAATGTTGCACTGGGTTGGCAGGATTTTATAGGGGATTATCACTTCAAGAGTAAAACACACCAGGATGACAGTTGCCCAGAAGGGTTGTGTAAAGCTGCCATGTTTGCATTGTATGTAAAAGAAGAGCTGCAGTCATGGCCAGAGAAAAGTACTCGTACAAGGAGCTGGCTACCTATTTCCGAGGCAGTTGAGAGTTGCCGACATAAATGGATGGAAGATGCTTTGAAGCATTTTACAAAATGGCTTGAAGATAAAGATGTAAACTAGCAGTGACCCAACCTTATTATTAAGACTTCAATCCGATAATGTATGGTAGAAACAGAAGTTTCTAGTGTTAGTGCATTGTTCACAAACCCCCAGCCTATTGATGATATTGATGACCAGGGCTAATTTTCTTATTAAATAACCCTAATAATACAGATAGTAGAAGGGGGGAAATCAAGAAATAGTTCCTTTTTTGTGGTTATCTTTGGTCTTTCTTCCTCCAATTGTCAGTCTGACCAACATGTAATATTATTTTTAGAATTGTTGGAGAAATTGTCATTTATATTTTGGCTAAATTACATATTTTGTCACTTAGTTTATCTACTTTTAGTGTGTTTACTATCATAAATATTTCTCTTTTTTATTAATCACTCCCTTCAAATCTCGTTACTACAACGATGATTATAGTCGTTAAGTGACTTAATTATCAATTAAAAAGTTATAATTATATTTAGTTATTGTTAATATTTCCACTCATCTCCACCCATTTGTGAAACACCCCTCTGACGATATGAATGATGCCACGAGCAAACATTCCACCTCCATTCCCTCCTCCGCCAGCTCCCAAAATTTCACCAATCGAACTACTACTGGGGGATTGATATTCCCCCCCCCCCCCAAATTTAGCTGTGTCCCGCCTTAGATTTGAGTCTGTCTCTGTGTCGTGGTGGTTCCCTATTGATTATCTGACATATTCCATTGAATGGAGCTTCTAACTCGATGGAGGGAATTTTTATTATTATTGCATGTGGTGACATTTGCGAATTGATTATCTGGCATATATTGATCTTTTTTTTTCTTTTTTTCCAAGACTCATACTACTACCGGGTAATTAGTATAAATGGTCACAAAACTATGCACTTTGTACAAAATGGTCACAAATCTTTTATTTTGCACATCTCAGTAACATATGTTTGAACTAATAACAAAAAGGTAATTACGTCTATCTTCGTCCAAAAAACCATTACTTGCATCCAGTCAGCATTTAATGCGTGCGGCCTTAACTTTGGGCTGCCCCTGTCTCGTGGTGGTTCTTGATTGATTATTTGACGTGCTCTATTCAATGAAGCTTCTCACTCGACGACATAATTATTTTTGTTTCACGAGGTGACATTTCCGAATTGATTATTTGGCATATATTAAATAGAGCTTCTCACTCGATGGCGGAGAACTTCTTGAGGAACTTCGAAAAACTACCACGTGTGTTGTTATCGTTCTTGTAAACTTGATCCTATTGTACTATCTTCTAGTATGGTCATCACGTCGGTGGAGTGTCAGCCATTTGAACTTGATTCAACCAGTGCAGGTCATGAAACCGGCGTGAACACCACCGGTATGAACGGTATGATTGATTTACGCTCTAAGCAAAGTAATGTTGTTTAAATGAATTTAATTAATAAAAAAATAATTTATTTTTTATTTCATGAACTTAAAAGTTAAATATTTATGTTATTTGTTGGAGTCAAGTATAAACATTTAGGTATTGATATTAAATATTTTATTTTAAATATGTTTATTTTATAGTTTATTTGGAGTTTCATATTTTATTTAAATACGAATATGAGTTGTAAGTAATTTATCTTCAAATATATATTTTATATACAGTTAAATTCATTTAATATTAATGACTTTTCATATTTTTACATATTTTGTTAAACCAACATGAATCGATACAAATCGATTGTACCACCAATCGAACCATTCCTGACTCACTTCAACTACCACAATAAAATCCCGCCTAGAGCCCAAGTATAAACTCTAGTAGGGTGTAGTATAGGGTAATTGTTTGAAAATGTCAACCTGAGTCGGTTCATGTACCCCTACTTCAATCGTTTAAAAGGTTATCTAGCAATCAATTTTTAGTGAAAACTAAGGTCTATGAACGAAACAAGCAAGATCGACCGAATAGAATGCCAATGTGTAGGAATGTGCTCATACACCGTGAGGAGAGCGCAACTAGTGAAGAAACTTCACTCTCTTGGGTGATAGACCAAGGCACAACAATTGAAGCTAGCGAACTAGCTCTCATGGCCACTCAACCAAGGGTTGCTAAGGCTACTCCCCCGGAACTTAATCTGGAAGACAAGATAACAACCAAGTAAAAGTGTTAAATTGAAACTTAAGGCTTGCCCTAAATTGCACTAGGTAGGTGACCCAAATGGCCAAGAAACCCAGCTTCTCAAACCCTCTAGCAAACAAGGGGGTTTCTCTCCACCTAGGCCAAATTGGCATGGTAATGAGAAATTAAGAACACAACTCAAGCATTCTGAAAATACCTCAAACTTTGCATTAAACACAACCCACACACATAGCATTCAATTCATACAATCTTTCACATATCTAAAGCTAGGGTTTACAATACCCAAGTGAAAAAGAGTACTACTTCATAGTCAAACTAGTGATTACAACAAAGAGAAGAAGAAGAATCATGGTGTGGTATGTAGCTTCCTTCTTTGTTGTAGAAATCACCCTTGGAAGGTGATAATCCCCAATCTTCAAGCTTGGAGCAAACCCTAGAGCACATCTTTCTCTCTTGGTTTGTCGTTTCTCTCTAAAATATGAAGAAGAATGTATTCTCTCACTAGGCTCTCCTAAAGTTTTAGATCCATCCTCCTTTTATACCCAGTTTGTGAGCACTTCACTGTCACAGATCACGATTGTGATCTGGAACCTTGGACCATGATCTCGGACAAAAGTGTGCAGTTTCATTTAAGGTCTTCAAGGTCCTGGGAGATTATCACGGTCTGGTGACCGTGATGTCATTTAGGTCTACGAGACCTCCTTATCACGGTCGGCCTGATCGTGATAATTGTGCTTCCACCGTGATCCTCGCTTTTTTGCTCCCTTCGACCCACCTTCGCCCCCTTTTATTCAACTTTTGCTCCCAAGGCCACTATCACCTACTAGAACCTGAAACATGCAGGAAAGATGCACAACCTAGCGTAAAATTGAACCTCATGCGATGTAAATGCCCCAAGAATATGGAGTGAGAACATTTACAATTAAGAATCACTCCCCCACACTTGGATGTTTGCTTGTCCCAAGCAACCTAATCTCAAACAAGATAATATCTCAACCTCAAACCAATGACTTGGGGATATATGAAAGGGCTCAAGGTGGATGAGTCTCAATGGTTATTGGGAATCAACACATGGACAATTCACAAGCAACACCAAGAATAACCAAAAACGACATTCGAATGCATTAAGAACGTGCAAACGAAAAGGTATTACTTTGTTCACAAACCAACACATGAGTTTACAAGACCACTCACAAACTGCAGTTATCCACGCATAGAGATCAAGCCCAGGAAATAAACGAATGAGCGAGCAAGGTCCTCACCGGGATGCAAAATATGAACATGAGAATGTGAAAGAATCACTCACTGTCTACTAGTGGGGTCAGAACCATTTGATGCAAGAGATATGCATAATCAACACTCACCCCTATCGTCTCTTCACCATGACGAGAACCTCTAAATGTTAGAGTTCACAAGATGGTTGTCGTCACTAGCTTGTTGACACGCTACGACACAACTCCTAACAATGGCCAAGTGTAACCAATGAAAGAGACTGCAGTATAGTGGCACAACCGTACAAGTAATAAATATCGAATCCATGGGTCTCTAGAGTTACTATTACTCAGCTTCAGTTCATTATCTAGCAAATCATATTAATGATCGATTTACTAAACTACTCTACTAACTAAACTAAGGCTAAACTACTAATTACAAGTTGGAAACTCACTTAGGTATGATTCCCCCTAGCTCCTCAATTAGGTCCAAGTTGTAATTACCTTTGGTTGATCTACTGTTGATTAAACTGCGGAAGATCATAAATTAGCTTGGAATCTCTTAAGCTGACCAAGCCCTCTTAGACAGAATACCTGGCAGGCGACTAGCCTTCACCGGGATAGACTGCTAAGGCGATTCACACAGATCTCCACTACTGGAATGAATTCCAATAGAAAGCAGTGAATTGAATGACTCTCGCACAACCAATTCACTACTATCAATCAAGGAAGCTCTCTTAACCTAATAAGATTCTATCTATCAAAGGTTAAAGTAGAAATCAAGAGAATTTGATCAGGATTCAATTGACTCAATAAATCATGCCTCAATCAATTATAATCACACAATATAGCATCCAAAACTTCATACAAGAAAGATCCTAACATATGGAACTAGGGTTCCTCAAAACCTAAAGTGAAGGGAAGTTACTCCATAGAGAAGAGAGAGACTGCAGAAATCTGATCTAGATCTTCAATCTCCATCTCCAAGCTTGATTCCCGAGCTCCAATGGTAAAGAAATCCTCCAAAATAGCTCCAAGAATGTTCCCAAGTCGCTCTCTCTCTCTAGGGTTCGTCCCTTGGGTGTTTGGGAACCAAAACCCAGCTCTCCCTTTCCTTTGGCTCGAATCTGCATCAAAAACCGGATTCTGGGCGAAATACGGGCAGAAATACGGTCGTACTTCAACCATGCCCGCAATTTGCCCAAAATACATGTTTTGGTTAAGTTTCAGCGCATTCAAGACTCCTCTCGGCACGAAAAATATGGGCATGGGAGGGAAAATACGGTCGTATTTCTCCTGCCCATATTTCTTCCTCCGCTTCTGTTTAATGCTTCGTTTCTCCCTCGTCCGGACTCCGAATCAGTCGCCGTTTGATCCCAGACGCTCATAGTCTCGTCCTATTTATTTTGATGACAAGATTCCATGATTATTTGTCCATAATATGAAGTAGAAATCCATTCTTCCTCAGGTCATGCTCGTGTTTCTTCTCCCAAATTGCCAAATGATCTCCGATTGACTTGAAACTTGCGCATATGGTTCAATTTACATGCTAGAGCCTGAAATGTGTCAAAGGAACACAACCTAGCGTAAAATAGGCCAAATAAAGAAAAAAACTCAAGCCAAAATGATCAAGAAACGAGGGTGCAAACATGTGCAAATACGACGTTATCACTTGTCCGGAGGTCTTAGACATGGGTTCGATGACTAACTATTGTCTTGGACATAGAGAAAAGGCTTTTTGGGTGGTGGAAAACATAGCATAAGGTTCCACATCTTCAACCTAAAACCAACACAAGGTTCTATGGTTTCAACTAGAACCTTTTCCTACAAGGAATGGCCACTAGCATTGGCCAAAAACCACACTTCCTCAATTCCAAACCACAACCAATCCTCAACGACATTCAAGCACACTTTCTCGGCTAAACCTGCTATCCAATTTTTCAAGCATGGTAGTG